AACATGAGATCCAATTACATGTCCCCAATAGTATGTTCTTTTTGCATTTACCAAACACATAGCTCTCAAACTGAAGAAATGGGAAATGATATTCTGAACAAATAAAAAAAAAACAAAAGTGATTGAGGGCAGCTATATTTATATCAAATAAAATAGACTTTAAGCCAAAAATTCTAATAAGGGACAAAGGTGGTCTTGACATTTTTGATAAAGGTGTTACAGTTCATCAAAATGGTGCAACAATTTTAAGTGTAAAGTGTGATAATAAATCCTCAATAGATATGTGTATAAAGTCATCATATTATACAGCAAACTTGAGTATGTGTCAATGATATCTCAATAAAACTAGGAGAAAAAGATAAGATAAACTAGCAAATTTTCTTTTGCTTTCCTGTCATGTATATGGCATTTTAATGTCCTCTTTATGCCTACCAATGATATTGAGCAGTATATGAAGTTCTTGTTCTTATGTTAATTAAGATAAAATGTTCATCAAGCATTGTAGCATTCGGTGATATAAAAGGATTATCAAATTGATACTTCTCATGATATTTTCAATAATCTTTAAGAAGATAGTGTAACTGATAGGGTAATTGAGAAAGTTATAATTGTAACTAATTGCAGCTGTTATATGTATATTCCAACTGCAAAAAAATAAATGAATAACATGATAATTATAAAAGCTTTCAGATAAATTGTATTTGAAATCAACTTGGGCATAATATTTTAGATAGTGAGAATAATACATTGAAAAGTTGTATCTGGGAAAAGGTACTGGCTGAAGAGAAAATAGGAAAGTTTAAATCAAAAAAACTGGACAATGAGAGAAAAGTTTGAATTTGAATTTATGTGAACAATTAGATACCAGTGTAGGTTCTTAAGAGAGGTGAGCAACATACGCCAATGATGGAGGTGATGAGGACATGGGGATGACCATGATGATGAAGACAGATGATGTCTACGACTACACAGGAATATGCTAAAGAACCCTCATTGTGTATGTGTCCGATCTTTCTGAAGCCCTTTGCATTTACTAATCCATTTTGACTTGATGGAAGGGAAATTATTTCCCCTAATTTTGTTTCATAGAATTAACAATGGAGAAATGAAGACATTTATTCAAGTTATGCATTTAATAAGGAGAGAAAATGAAATTCAAATCTAGGCAGCCTGGCTACAGAAGTCATGCACTAATAACTAACAATTGACTGCATCTCATAATTTACAAAGTTAGTTCTAATAAATGGTGCAGTTTTAGGAAAAAAACAAAACAAAACAAAACACACAACTGATTGATCTAGGAAACTGTTAGTTAACCCAAGCATTAAATAAGGATTATATAATTAGAGTAAGAGATGAGCTGGGAAGTATTTGAAAGAAGAATGTCGTAAGTCAGGTTCCCTGGAAGTAAGTGAAGTTTGAGTTCAGTTTACATGATTGATGTAGATTTCCTCAGAAGAACAGAAGTAGAGATAAGGAAGGGGCAAATAAGAATATGGTCTCAGCAGAATCTCACTGCCTTCTCACACAAGAAAAGTCAGACCCTGAGAAAAGACAGTATTTTATACCATGGTTTTATCAGTGATTACCAGGTACACACTACTATTGGTTGAGAGTGCAGGTGAGATGGGGGAGGTTGAAGAATAAGGTAAGAGGGACAGGAGTACCATAAACTCCCAGCAAGTGAGACCATCTGTTTGACTCTGTGAGAAAGAGCCGCTAAAAAGTGAGGTGCTAATGTCACTTGCACTGGTGGCATAAGGATTCCTCATAACAGGGTCTCAGTTGCAAAGTCTGCACAAGTTCATTTGAAATAAGCTATGAAGGAAAAGGGGACGCACTTGATGACTTCATAATATCTAACAGAAATTTCCTTCTATTGGTGGTGAATCGATTAGAAACAAGGAAGTACATATGAATGGAAATCTCACAGAGAAGACTGAATTTAGTTTAGGACCTCCTGAAATGCTACAGGCCAGTTTTGGATGGCTGGCATTCAAGACAGAATGAAAAACTCAGAACCACCATAACTTCCATAATTAAGGTCATGTGCAAGGGCAATTAAGAAACAGCAAGTATTAAGCCCAAAATTTAGAGGACTAGGGAAAAAAAAAAAAAAAGCTGGGGCAAGGAAAAGGGTTAAGGGGTCAGAGTAGGACAAGTCAGTGAGTTAAAGAAAAGTTAGATAAGAAATTCTGTACTGTTTAGCTGAAAAACTGATGCAGAGAACAATACTGTCAACACCACCACATAAATTGGAGAGAGACCTAGTAAAGTTAAATAGAAACTGAAGGAAATAAATGGGTGGTGACCTCAATAAAAGATTTTCCAGAACGGATGCATGCGTTCACTTATTTATGCACTTTTTTGCTCCTGTTTCACTGCATTAATGAAAGCAATATATGCACATATATAAATATCATGTCCTTTATGCATTATGGCACCATCTAAAATCTAATTCAAATATTGTCCCAAAATTTAAATGCAATATAAACTTTTCTGTATTTCTTTTGCCAAGTTAGTGACATGCAGCATATTTTGTATGTTAGTTGCTAGAGATTTGATATAATTAAGATTGAATTCTATGTCACATATATTTCTTCATAATATATGAATTTCCTGTGAATAAAACTTAGATTATTTTATGTGAATATAATCCTTTGTGACAGAAAACATACATGTATATGCATGTATATATGCTTATATATACATTTATGTGGTTTATAGTAATTTATATGTTAGTTCATAAGATCGATCATTTGACACTGATTAATGAAATTGCTGTGTAATAAATATTTGAAGAAATGCATGTGATGATGTCTTGTTAAATTTTAAGAATGTAAAGAATTGATACATTTTGTTATAATATTTAAAAAGCTTAAATATTTGTTAAATAGTTAACAAGCTGATAACATTAAATCGTTCAAATGTGTTTCCAAACATGGGTATTACTGCTGATAGAAAATCATAGATACCATGAAACACTTCCTAAATGTGTGTGTGTGTATATATAGATATAGATATAGATATATAGATATATATACATATAGATATATAGATATATATGTACATATACATATACATATACATATATATATATATATATATATATATATATATACATATATATATACATATATATTTATATATTTAAGTTCAAAGGTAAATGTTTCCCTTTGTTTCACCATGGCCACTGATTTGAAAAGTATGAGAACTTTTATGTAGCCATGCCTTATGTTGACCTTAGTTGCTCTCTTTCCTCTTACAATGTTCTTAGAAAAGTGTATCCAAAATTTCCTGCCATTTAGAATATATGTGTAAGCATCACATTTAGTTCTTTGACATATCCAAATCACTTATTGAGCATTTACTTATTTTCCAGAATACAAACATCTTGTGTTTTCCTTGTTCCATTCTTGTTATTTTTCCACTATGTGCTTAATGTACATACATATGCATACCTATTTGCACATTTATAATTTTTAAATATTAAGAATTGCAAACTTATACTGATACCGCCAATATCTATCTAACATTACAGGGTTTAAAAATGTTCTGTCAGTTTTTATATTTGTAATCCTACCTCTAACATTGAGTAACCTTTCTCTTTGATCCTCAAAAATATTCTAATTTCATTTATTCAGAAAGATGTTTCAGAATTAATTCAACCAGCTATGACAAATCAACTTCAACTACAGTTCTCTTTTATGTTCATTTCTCTTTCTTTAAAATTAGGATAAAACGCCAACTGCTATGCTGAAATACTTTTAAAATTTACATTTCCACTAAAGTTTTTCAAATATACAATGAACTTGATTCTTAGTAAAAGGAAAATAAATTACCAGAAACTAAAATACATATTTTTAATTATAAAAAAGTGGCATAAAATAAGAAATTAAAAATTATGAAAATTAAAATGTTGATTTTAATACTCTCTTCTTTTAGGTGTGGACAGTATTTCTAAACAAATAGAACTTAATATATAGGGAAAAGAAGGAAAATGTAATCCATGATAAAGAGTGAAATCACTCAATAAAAACTAGCTTAGAAATGGTTTAGTTGTTAAATTTATAAATGAAGGACAGTAAAGTATGTAGGAACAAATGTTGAAATATCTATACTAAAGAGGGATATAGTGCATAACAGGAATATCAAGAGAGATTTAGAAAATTTTAACACTGAAAATGAAGTATAATAGAACACCCCAGAGTAAAATGAACCAATACTCAACCTATGAATTACTCTCAATTACTGAAACATATGTAATTAGATTCCTAGAAAGGTGATTAAACCAGATGAAAAATAGACCCTGAATACAGGGTGTGATGTTTTATGCTTTTGTGTTGACTGAATTTATATGATCAGTGTACCAATCATTCCCAAAAGACATCAGAAATTCCATGTATGTTTAATCAAAAATCTTTTTTGACTTATTTGAAGCTCTCAAAAAACTTACTGTAAACTCTGATTTTGAAGATAAACCTCCACAATAATTAAATAAAATTAACAGAGAAGGTTATAAAGACACATTTATAATTATGTTTTGGCATAAGAATAATCAAATAAACAGAAAAGAAAATAGATAAACAAGAGAACAGTGTATATACAGGACACAAGTTCATGATAAAGATAGTATTTATTCATTAGGACAAATTAGTTTCTTAGTAGATAATACGTTAAATGTGCTGAGATTATAAAGGAAAAATAAATTTGAATTTCTTTCTAAAAGATCAAAATGTGAAAGGAAAAACTATTAAACATTATAGAAATTGCCAGAATGTTCTGTGACCAAAGATTACAATAAAATCCCTTAATCAAGTTTTCAGCTACATGCCTTCATAATACAATAAATAGACAGAGAATAGCTAAATAGATACATGCATACATACATACATAGATACTTAGATACATAGACAGGTAGATAAGGATAAAAAGATAATGTGTTGTGTACTTGTTGACACTTTACATTCATGGCCTAATAGATCCTATGACTCTTTCAGGCTTGTTCTGAGTTCAGTCTCCGACTATTTTGCTGCCATGTTTACAAGTGATGTTTGTGAAGCCAAGCAAGAAGAGATCAAAATGGAAGGCATAGACCCCAATGCCCTCTGGGACCTTGTCCAATTTGCATATACAGGTACAGTAAAACATATATATGGCTTTACAGGATTTAACAATTTAAAAAAGTCCCAATTTCCATTTGGGACAAGTATGGAACTGGAAGTGATTATGCTAAGCTAAAATAAGACAGAAGGAGAAAGGCAAATAAAATATGGTTTCATAGATATGTACAATATAGAGAGATTAAAGAAGGGGCCAGGCAAACCAAATCAAAAGCAAACCCTAATAATCTGACTCAAAATTTGAGGCTTATAAAGGGGAATGGAGAAAGTGGAGCAAGGTGAAGGGGCTAATGGCTGAGAACTCTGCCTTTTTGGGAGGTGTGGTGTGGCAACATACATGTTAACATATTTGGTAACAGAAGAGGTGTGAACCTATCCTTCTGAATTGTACAGTAATGTAAACTAATGTTACCTCAATTAAAACAAAACAAAACAAAAAACTGGGGGAGATAGGAGTGCTACATCCCTTGATGTTGACATTTCAGAGAGACAGCTTCCAAACCCATGAGAAAAATAACCTGCACGGGGCTTTTAAAATGACTTACATCTCAAGAGAGTAGACAAATTATTTACAATAATAAGTTTTATAAAGTGAATGTTTGAAGACAAGTGAGGTCAAAGTCTTAGAGTCAGGAAGAAGTCTGTCTAAATTCTCCTGGTGAAGGGACTTAAGACCTGCTTGGTCAATTTCAATTTGCATGCAACCTGAAAAAGTAATATAAAGGATCATTGGCCTCTCAGTAAGAGATTGCAAGCATAACCACATTATTGTTTCCTTGAAAGGGAAAGAGTCAGGGAGCTCACAATTTAGCGATCCTTCCAGCAACAGAAAGGCATAGATCCAACAGTTACAGCCTCCATTTCCTGGCAGCCTTGCATTTCTCATGTGCAAAACTAGGTCAAAAGACAGTCATCATAGTGCTGCACAAAGTTGGAAAGTATTTCAAAGCTCCCTGCTGAATGTAATGACCCAGATTTGGCTCTGCTTTGTTGGGGACAGATGGGATACAAAGCTGCCCTTCAGTTGCCACTTGGCCTTTTCTGTTATATTCATATTTCCCTGGTGGTTGAATAATTTCCAATTGTTCATTTATAGATATGTTTAGATTAGCATCATTTACATGGTAATAGTGAGAGTATTAGCCAAAACATAAACTACCTTGTCTTTGGTAATACAGTGTAACAAATTATAACAATAGAAGAGATCAAGTGAGCAATGGTTTAGAAAGGAGTGATAGGATCTGTGCTTATTTGCTAGCTTGTTAGCTATCTCTTAAGAGTTTTCTTGGAAGGTAAAGGGTAAAATTAATGAGTTGTAAGATATATAAAGTGTCTGTCATTCAGTATATTTTCTTATTGAAGGGGTTTTGGAGAAATTTGGAGAATTAGGCCCTTCCCTGTCATACAGTTATGTCTCAGTGCTATGAGGCTATCAGCAGTCGCTGAAGAGCAAGCTCCATCCCAGCCCAGAAAGCTAACTCACATGGTGCAAAAGACCTCAACTGCCTTGCCTGCTGCTCCCCTCAGCAGTGTTATGTTGGCGAATCCACCTGTCCTGCTCCCCTGTCTGTCTCTGGTGAATCCTCCCATTCCCCACCCACTGCACCTCTAGCTTGTACCTCAGTTCTATGTTAAAAAAAAAATACATAAATAAATAAATCAGAAAAAAAGAAATGTGAAGAATCAGCTATGTCAAAAATGTATAGCTAACTATATTCTCAAGTGTACTATGTTCACTAGATAGTGATGAGTACTTCAAACTGATTTAGATGAAAGAATCATGATATCCAGATAGTAAGTCTTGGAAAAATGGTATGTAGCCGATTTATTTCATTCAGTTAAAATTTCAGGGAAAAATAATGGATAAAGTAAAATTAATGGATAAAGTGAATTTTTGACTGATATATAGCTTAGTGATTATATAATTTAATTTCTGGGGGGGTTTGAAGAGGGATGAATAAACCTTTAAAGAGTTGCATTTAGTGAACAATTATCATGGCAAGATATAATAAATCTTGTGATTAATCTTGTGTGTAAAGTCAGGATTGTTCTAGAATTATTCTGTAGAACATCATCAGAAGTATGGAATCAGAGAAAATATGTTTATATTTCCTTATACTATTTTCAACTTATATAAAAAATTAGAAGTGTATAAGACCCTAGAAACTCCATCCTGAACATTACACATTTTACAGATGAACTTTTTACTATGTCTGAGTCAAAACAGATAATCCCAAACATTTTTTAGAGATTTATTTATTTATGCATATGGTACTGGGTTACAGTTCAGAAGTGTATGTGTGTATGTGTGTCTCTGTGTGTGTGTGTTGGGGGGTAGGGGTGAGAAGATTCACCAGAGACAGTGGGGAGCAGTGCAGGCAGATTGACTGAAGAACACTGCTGAGGGAAGCAGTGGGTGAGAGAGGTGAGGTCTGCTGTACCATGTGGGGATTCTCTAACCAGATATAGAATTGGTGCTGCAGTAGCTGTTGATGACTTCATAGTGCTGCGCTTTAACCCATTATGCCATTAGGGAAGGCCTTCCAAAACATTTTTTTTATATAATTGCATATTTGATAGTTCCAATAATCATTCACAAAGCCATCATGAGATAAATTAGAACTTTGTTTTTCTTTTAAGTTAATGTGAAGGGACAGAACTTTTCCCCCATTACTTAAGAACCTCTGAACTTTTTAATGCAACCCTGTCAGTGAAATAAAGTAACCTGGCAAAAACCATTAGTAAAATATTGAATCTATTACTGGAATAAATGTAGACAACAAATTGAAAGGCATTTTCTCTACTGAGTTGATGGTTTTTGTACAGAATCACTTATCATGGAATTGCTTGGAGTAGCTTATGACTGTGTTGACCTCAAAAGAGTTTGGGTAGCGTAAATTGAGTCCCCTATCGCTGTACAGTGACTTGCTACAACTCTGGTTCATGCCTCCTTCCTATATAATGCTCCAAAAGCATAAATGTCAAATAGATTTTGTGTTTGGGTGCACTAAATGATTTTCAAGTGGTGCTACATGCTTGCTATGTGTATTAGTAGACTTAAAATGGTCTCAGGAACAATAGGCTAAATTATAGACATTCTCTTTCCTTAGAGAACTTTAGTATTCCTTATGGAGCTTTCTAATATAAAGTTCAAAATAATCATGCTTTGTTATCCTCTGGTAGAAGGATACTTTATGATATGATATTAGGATATATGATGTTCCTCATTGCATAATAATGTACAATAAAGTGTGAGGGCTACTTCTTTGCTTGTTTGTGTTATGTTTCAGTTCTGGTTCCAAACTGATGGTCACATTGTAGAAATAAAAGAGGGAATTAAGAGATAATTTAATGTATTTGGAAAGGATAGACTGGGGTTCACTGTATTTTAAAGTTGCTTTCAGACTGACAGAAAGTTCCCTTTGGTTTATCTTTTACATAGTCTCTGCTATCCTCAGACACTTGAAGAAATACTGTGTTCACTCACGTGTAAGGAAATAGTGTTCTAACAAGTATGTGAGATGAGATTGTCAGGTCCTGTAGAGAACTGATAAGGACAAGGTTTTAAAAAAGGAAGCTGTCCATCTAGCAGTGGTATTAAGAAGAGGGGTAGAAAATTAAACTGCCAAATGGCAAACTTTTAATCATACGGAAGAGTTAAATTTCTTGTTAAAAAAATAAAGGTCTGTGTAGCTAAAGTTAATTAAAGTGGTGATACATGGTGAGGAATGTTAAGAAAGCTTCTGCTTTACTACCAAACATTTGAATGAAATAAATAAACACTTATAGGAGCTGAGATGTTTAATGTTCTACTTTAATATTAAAAAGTATATATCAATATATTCAGCTTGGACTAAACATTCTAAACTCCTTTCAGAATTTTTTATTGTAATTAAAAGTAAATTCTTGTTTCATTTTTATTACTTGTTTAATACAAGTAGCATGAATTATGCAAGCATACTGGCAGAATATTAGTTTTAAACACAGGGTTTTTTAATAGATGGGGAAATTCTATTCTGATCTTAAGAAACTGAGTTTTTAAAGATTGGCTTTATATATAACTATCATCCATTAAGTCTGAGTCCATAATTTTCATGATGTTCAAATAGTCTATATGTTCTGTAAGGAAAATAACAAAAGTAAAACAAATAAATTAGCTCATTATCATCAAATAATCTTTCTCTCCATTATTTTAACAATAAATCCTCTATGTTTTTGTGTGTGTATATGCATGTATATATGTGTGCATAGGTATTTCTGTAACACATAACACAAAATTAAAAAAAAAAATAGGGACTTCTTGTATTGATAATAAAGATGTGCATTTTTGACTCTTATGTAGCTTATTATTTCTGTTATTAAACTGAATTTTTGCTTGATGCAATAGGATTTCATAGATGCCTTGAAAGAGAAATAGCTCTGTGAAACTTAATATTTACTATCTGTAGAAAAAGGGCTATGCCTATATACTGAAGATCTTGTTCACTTTTTGAGTTCAAAAGTAAGACAATTCTCTAAGGTCTCATTTGATCAATAAAACTCAATTAGAGGGCCCTCCCTGGTGGTACAATGGGTTAGAGTGCAGCACTGCAAGCTAGCTGCAGCCGCTACAATGCAAGTTCGATCCCTAGCTCCGGAGGTGATCCACATGGCAAGACAGACCTCTCCTGACCTGCCCGCTGCTCCCATCAGCTGTGTACCTCATCTATCTACCTGTTCTGCTCCCCACTCTGTTTCCAGTGAATCCTCTCACCACCCCTGCACCTCTGGCCTGTACCCCAGCTCTATATACATAAATAAATCTTAAAAAAAAAAAAACTCAATTGTATTCAGAATATATTTGATTTATATGGAACGGCAACATCTATACTGAATAGAAGAGCACATTATTTTATCTATCAGTCTTCTAAAGTATTCAATTCTGTAACTGATATGTGTGATGGGTCTGAAATGCAGGTTGGCAAATAATATCACTAACAGTAAGTTTTGAGTACCTTGTTATAATCATGCACTG